GGTTGCCTCCGCCTCCTGGGTCAGCCCCCCGTTGGCTCTGGGGAGACTTGCCACCATCTGAAGGACCAAGGCTGCACGGCAGCTCACAGCTGCTCACCTAGTGCTCAGGACTGCCTCACCTATGAAAGGTGTTCTCAAATGCCCATGCTTGTCACTCCTGTCCTTTAGCTGGAGAGGCTCAGTCTGTCTCCTCCCACCCCGGTCCTGTGCCTGCAGCTCTATGGCCCGGGGAAGCACTCCACACCTCACCGGGTCAGCTGATGGGAAGCATTCCAAGTGCATGCCTTGCCTGGGCTCCTGAGCATGTGTGTCGTTTTGCAATAAACCCATTTCTTGAAAGGAGGTGGCCGAGTCTCTGCCTTTAACCCCCAAAGATGGGCTCCTCCGGCCCTCCTGCGGGCTGCCAGCCTTTCACCACTTTAACTCTGTGCCCCCTCCCCCCCGCGCTCAGCAGCAGCCCTGTGCACCCGTGCCGGTCCGCCCACAAGGAGCCCGGGCAGGTACCCACCGACGCCGCTCCAGGCCGAGCTTTCCTGGTGCTCTCACCCCGAGAGGAATGAGGTTTCCACTGGTCACGAGCGTCCCCACCCCCCTTCACAGCCAGGATCCTGACACCAACTTCGGTGTCCGCCGTGTCCTTCTCACAGGAGCCCCTGGAAATTTGCTAAGTGGGGGCCTTAAGACTCCCCCTCACCTGTTCGTTCAGCTGCTGAGAAGACCCTCCCGAGGATTCCCAGACTTCTGGTCTCCGCCCACTTCCGGATGGTTCCTGGGGTTGCGCTCTGGTGTGGATGACCTTTGGCACGTCCCACAGCCTCTCTCCACCAGCTTCCTTCTTTACATACGCGCTCTAAGCAGTGCACGCGATGTGCCTGGCAAGCGAAGGCAGCCTGTGGCCTTCCTGGGCCCCTTTTTTCTGGGAGCCCCACCTCCAGGGCGCCCTCCCGGACGCGCACCTGTAAGGTCAGAAAGCTGGACACCGAGCCACACACCGAGCACGACCCAGTCTCCTCGGAACCCGGCGTAAGTACCGCGACTCAGGGGACAGCCCCGCTCTGCCAGAGCTCGTCACCGCTGTAGACTCAACCACGCTGCACTAGCGGAGTCGACAGATTCCTGCGCTACCGGTGCGCTCAACGCCAGCGCGCACGCTCACGGGCATGGCGCACGCGCAGACAAGCGTGAACGTCCCCGCTCCCCAGGCCCTGCTTCTCTGCGCGCGTGCGCAAAAGGTGGCGGGCCCAGCGCAAAGTTGGGCGGGGCGTCTCCCTGGCTCCGCCCCTTCGCGCTCTGTCCCGCGGCGGCCCGGCTTCCCTCGGAGCCACTTCCCCCACTTCCTCTCGGTCTCGCCGGCCTTCCTGCGGTTTCTCCGTGGCCGTCTGTTCCGCAGTGTGTCGATCGGCGTGCGCGGGCGGCGGCGGGAAGAGGTCGGCAAAGGACGAGGGGGTGGCGAAGGGCGCGCGGTCCGAGGGCACGACGACCCCTGCAGGGCCAGCCTCCGGCCCACGCCGACCTACAGTTCAGCTTCCACCTCCCGCCGGAGTGGATGCCTCGCGTGGCTGCGCCCGGATGAGTTGCGCGGTGCCGGCCGGAGGCGGGGGGCCAGGGGTGAGAATCCGGGCTCTGGGAAGGAAAGGGGATGGGAACTCGGAGAAGGGAAGGGGCCTGGGTTGGTGGGGAGGGACGGAGGTCTCCCGGCGCCCACTGTCCACGGGCACGTGCAGCTCCTCCTCCGGGCGCGGGGGTCCGGGAGCATAGGCCTGGAGCCAGGCCCAGGTCCAGGCTCTGCTCCCGGGCATCCACTCGAAGCGCCCCTGGGCCGGGCGGTCCTCCAGCTCCCAAGAGGCACATGGGACCAGACTGCCAGAGTCATGCAGGGGAAGTTGAGCTCACGTTAGAAGACCTACCCAAACAGGCCACAGCCACACTGGGATTCCCATAGGACACACGAACTCCAGCAGGCACAGGTGCTCCCCAGGACTCTTGCCAGCTGCTGGGTGTGACTAGGGAATACTTCAAGTCCACCACTGGAGGGGATGGGCTGTCCACCATCTTCTGAGGATGGAGGGGGTGGTGACGCAGAGGGGTCTGGAGCTTTTTCGGAGATGTGGCGTGTGAGAAGTGAGATGATTCATTTTCAGAAACACCAAATAAAAGTTGTGCTGTCTACTTAAGAATAGGTTTATAACCTATTGAGAATATGTATGAACCT